AAAAAAAAAAAAAAAAAAAAAAAAAAAAAGTAATGATTTAGAGAGTCATGGGGTCTAACTCCAGAGCTAATGCTCCTAGCCCTGACTGCCATGACCATGCATTGTCTTCTTTGCTTTGCCTTTTGGTTTATGCAGAGCGATTTTACTGCAGGGAAGATACTTAGTGGCCTCAGAGGTGTTTCCTTATCACAATGGTGATACCCATTTTATAGCAACGGGCAGTAGAATGCTTAACCACTAGGACGCCATTGACAGTCACTTCAGAAGAGTTTGGGTGCAGTAGTGCCCACTCCCCACTTCAGACACAGGTCTCAGCTACTTGCCCTGCTTAGCAACATGTTGCAACCCCTACACTTCAGAGCCTGGGCAAGCTTGGGTGGGGGGACCACAGGAAATAGCAGAAGGAGCTGGGAGTGTGGAGAGGTGGACATTCAAGCTGATATTCCTGCTAAAAGGACAGAAAAAAAATTGAGAGGAGAGGTTCAAGGTGAAAAACCATGAAACAAAACTTTTTTGTGGCTCACCTGGTGACCGTAATTCCCCTCTTATCTGGTAGTTGTATTAGTCAGGATTCTCCAAAGAGACAGAACCAATAGGTGAGAAATAGAAAGATAGATAGATACCTAGATACATAGACAGACAGAGAAAAACATAGACATATGAGAGGCGGTGTATTAGGGGAATTGGCTCACATGATTATGGAGGCGGTGAAGTCCTGCGACAGGCTGTCTGAGAGCTGGAGACCCTGGGATGTGGCAGCGTGGCTCAGTCCAAGTACAAAAGCCTCAGAACCAGGAAAGCCGATGTCATTCTCAGTCAGAGGCCACAGGCCTGAGAACCCAGAGAGCCACTGAAGTCCTGGAGTCTCAAGGTCAGAAACAGCCTGGAGTTCTGAGGTCCAAGGGCAGGAGGAGGAGAGTGTCCCCACTCCAGGAGAGTTTTCTTGTTCTCTCCAGGCCCTCAGCCATATGATGGTGACCAACCTTACTGCAAGCAGCTCTTCTCCACTCAGCCACCTACTCATAAGACAGTCTCCTCTGGAAACACCCTCACAGACACACTCATAAGCAATGCTTTACCCATTCTCTAGGTGTTCTTTAATTCAGTCAACTTGACACTTGAAATTTACCATCACTAATCCACCTCTTGTCAATGTGGCACCTATATGCATCTCCTTAAGCCATACTTAATCTCCAAAATTAATGCAACAACAGGCCGGGCACAGTAGCTCATGCCTGTAATTCCAGCACTTTGGGAGGCCAAGACTTGGGGATCACCTGAGGTCGCGAGTTCAAGACTAGCCTGACCAACATGGAGAAACCCCATCTCTACTAAAAATACAAAATTAGCTGGGTATGGTACATGCCTGTAATCCCAGCTCTCAGGAGGCCGAGGCAGGAGAATCACTTGAACCTGGGAAGCAGAGGTTGCGGTGAGCCGAGATTGCGCCATTTCACTCCAGCCTAGGCAACAAAGAGCAAGATTCCATCTCAAAAAATAAAAAATAAAAATGAACAAATGCAACAACACGGTAATGGTTCTGCCAGATGTAATATTACTATCCTGCCAATAACAGAAAATGCACTAATCCCTTCTCCAAAGGAAGAGGTAAAGATCTTGGATGATGTTTACTCTTTTCCTGATATCTCATGATTTAAAAAGTCAGTGTATCTTATGTTACCTATAGAGGAATAAGAAGGGAATGAAAATGAAGATAAATTTCCTTAATATATGTACATATGCCCACATATTCTTAACAAAATAGAAAGTACTCACGACAATTATAATTTCTGCCACTGGTCACGTGATCATAGCTGCTGTCTATAACTACCTTCTTCTACTACCCATTATGTAACTAACCCCTTTGTCTCCAGCAAGCCCCTCAGCCGGCCGTAGTTCTTTACCTGGCAAGATGACCCAAACCTTCATTCCTGCTGCGCCATTCATAGTCCTGCCTGGATTGAGTGTTGTGGTTTTCCTTTGATCTTACTCACAGGACATGATAATATACTAAGAGATTCTCTAAAGGATGTTCTGTACTCTGGACATACTCTTCCTTAGCTCCATTGTGGGGCAGGAGTCCAGTTTCCCTATGGTAGTCTTGCTCTGTGATGCCAGAGCACTATAACTCCCTTCCTAGTCTGTTGACTCAGAGGCAGGAGGAGCTCATTCTCAACTTCCATGGCAATGGAATACTTGTCGTGTCTCTGAGTGGAAGCTCTTTCCTCCCTCTGGAACTAAGACTTCTATGTCAGCCAAGCATAAAGTCAGGAAGAAGAATGTTGCGAGTGAGTCACTAGGGGTAATAGTGAGTGCAGGTAATTCAAAAGGCATAATAAGCTGGGTGTGGTGGTTCCCGTCTCTCATCCCAGCACTTTGGAGGCCAAGGCAGGTGGATCACTTGAGGTCAGGAGTTCAAGACCAGCCTGGCCAACATAGTGAAACCCTGTCTCTACTAAAATTACAAAAATTATCCAGGCATAGTGGTGCGTGCCTGTGGTCCCAGCTACCTGCGAGGCTGAGGCGGGATAATTGCTTGACCTGGGAGACCAAGGTTATAGCGAGCTGAGATTGTACCACCGCACCCCAGCCTGGGCAACAGAGCGAGACTGAATCTCAAAACAATAAAGAATAAAAATGGCATAGTAAGTCTGGGATGGGTAAATCCCAGAGCATGCATCATGTTGGGAACTGCCTATCTGTTTCCTGCAATAAGAGTCAAATTTCCTAATAAACAGTATAAGTATCTGGGCCACCCTGTTGAACAGTGAGTGTGAAAATTTTATGTGACCCAGGAATTGATTATTTCTACTAGCATTCACTTTGATGCATAGAATTTTGTTTTCTACTTTTTTTTTGACAGGTTCCTGGGCAGATCGATCACCACTACATGAAGCAGCAAGTCAAGGTCGCCTTCTTGCTCTGAGAACATTATTATCACAGGTAATATATTACACATAGTTTAAAATATGCCCCCTTTCCATGTGCATGGAACATGGTCAAAACAAATCAATCCAAATATAATAAAATTACTTAAATTTTACTTCCGCCCTTTTAACTCATGTCAGAGAAGGCAATAGCTTCTCATTTGTCTTTGAAAATTCTTTCATAAATATTTCGATATAGTTGTATGTCAGTATTTCAAATTTCTCAGAGAACATATTTGTTCATAGATAGACATTTAAGGAAGTAATGATTGGGTTTATATATTATTGATTAAGCTTTCTAAATATGCTTAACTCTGTACAATATGTGCAGCTAATTACAGACTTAGTTCTGTAATAAAATATCCAAAAAGAAGTCATCAGAGCAGATGCCAAAGCAATCTTTTTTTACAATATGGTGATCTGTAATATGCTCCAGGAAATTGCCTAACAAGGCTACAGGACAATCATTTATATACTTGCCTGCTCATCAGATTCACCAGAGGAAAAATGAAAAACACAAATCCTTATTGAAACAGAAAGCTTGGACTTTTTTTTTAAGCTTCTGATGTAATTCAAATGCACGTCCAGGCTGGGCGTGGTGGCTCATGCCTGTAATCCCAGCACTTCGGGAGGCCAAGGCAGGCAGATCACCTGAGGTCAGGAGTTCGAGACCAGCCTGGCCAACATGCTGAAACCTCATCTCTACTAAAAATGCAAAAATTACCCAGGCATGGGGCTCACACCTATAGTTCCAGCTACTCAGGAGTCTGAGGCAGGAGAATCAATTGAACTCAAAAGTTGCAGTGAGCCAAGTTCATACCACTGCATTCCAGCCTGGGTGACAGAGCAAGACGCTATCTCAAAAAAAATAAAAAATAAAAATAAAATGCACACCCAGATCTGGAAGTCATGCGCGAGTGTTTCCCAGTCTCAAGGAGAAACATTCTCAGATGGCTACAAAGAAAGGAAAGGTTGCCTGTTTAAACAGCACTGCCTGGGTCTCAAGACCTGGATCTTAGGCTGGCACTTGAGGTGAACCACAACCTACCTGAGCTTCCTATTCTCATGTGTAGAATGGAGATGTAGGATGACACACTTTTTTAGGGACTTCCGGTTCTGCAATAACCATGTGACTATTTTGTTTTGTTCATCACTCGATGGGAGGAAAATAAACACTGAAAAGGGGTCAACAATTTCTAAAGGACAATTCCTCAGATAGGGCCATGTCATTCTTTGAAGAAGAGCAGTCTTAGCATATGTTTCAGTGTGTGTCCCTAATCCACTGACAGTTCAGCCAGGAATCACGTGAGGCTGTCCCCAGAGCCTGATGTGAAAGGGCATCTCTGCCTTCTCAGGTGTTTCCATCATCTGGTCCCCTCGAGTGTGTGGCAGTGTGGCATTAGCTCCCCACATCTGACTGCTGGCTGGCCAACTTGAAAGTGTCTGAAAGGATCATCTGTTTTTCTTGCCTTCATTTAAAAATTCTTCATGTCTATATTGGTATTATAGATTTTGGTGATCTGTAATATGTTATGAGGATTTGGCTTTGAAGTTCTTCCTATTACAGTGCTTAGTATGATTGTTAATAGACAAGGAAATACAAAAGATATCCAGAAGGTAAACAATCTCATATCCTAATAGTATGGAGTTATTTTAGTGTGATATTTTGAGTTTGATTGGAATACAGTGAAAAAGTGTATACTTAGTTTTGATTAAATAATTATAAAAAATAATGTTTTCATATGCTGGGCATTGTAATAGTAATAGCTTTACATGGATCATCTCATTTAATATTTTTTTCTTTTCCTTTTTCTTTTTTTGAGATAGAGTTTCACTCTTGTTGCCCAGGCTGGAGTGCAAAGGCACGATATCAGTTCACTGCAACCTCTGCCTCCTGGGTTTCAGTGATTCTCCTGCCTCAGCCTCCTGTGTAGCTGGGATTACAGGCATGCACCACCATGCCTGCCTAATTTTGTATTTTTAGTAGAGACAAGGTTTCTCCATGTTGGTCAGGCTGGTCTCAATCTCCTGACCTCAGGTGACCTGCCCATCCTGGCCTCCCCAAGTGCTGGGATTTCAGGCATGTACCACTGTGCCCAGCCCTCATTTAATTTTCATGATAGTCTTAAAATTTAGAGGCAAAGGTATTTGTCCAAATTAAAACTATTCATGATGGAGTTATGCTTCAAACCCAAGTCTAATTGATTTTATAGTCAGAGTTCTTAACCACCAGCATACAACTTTATCATACCTATTTGGTGACAAAAATTCACAAAGCTGTTTACTATAGTGAAGAGTATTATTCTGCAAACCTTGGCTGACCTGTAATTTTATAGCCTCAATCAAAACAAGTCTTTAGTTCTATAAAACAACAAAAAAAGAGTGTTTAGTTCTACAAAGCAAAGCACAAAATAAGAACAAAAAATATTAAGAAAGCAACATTTAAAGAAAATGTGCCAGAATATATTGAACATAATATTTAAGGCATTATTAGGTTCAGACATGATGGTGCCGCAAAAATAGGGCTAAGGAGTCTGGCAACGGATTGACCCTATGGCATTTGAACAACCTATCCTACTAAACTGGAAACCGGTTTGCCTGAGAGTCTTTAATCTTTAAATATATCACTCTCTAATGACATCAATAGAGATGATGTTTTAAATATATAACTCTTTGCTCACCTTTCAAAATTATGTCATATTTAGGGTTATAATGTAAATGCAGTAACCTTAGACCATGTCACCCCATTGCACGAAGCCTGCCTTGGAGATCATGTGGCATGTGCCAGAACTCTGCTGGAAGCAGGAGCTAATGTAAGTACCCTTTCAGAGCATTAACAATTTACCATTTACTGATGGAGAGAATCCGACAAAGTTCTCATTTTACTTTTCTTTCCCTGATTCTCGGTAATTTTCAAAAATAGCAGAATAAAAATAAAGCTCTTGAATTCCTTCGCCTTCTTATTGCACTCTAAAAAGGATTTACAATCATTGCATAAATGGGGAGTATGCTGCGTAATAATATAGACTATTCTTTAGGTTATTTTCTGCTTTCATGACTCTAAATAGCAATTGATGAACATCTTTAGGTCTGTAACATTTGCCCATCTTTTGGATGATTTTCCTTAAATAAAGTCTCAGAAATAGAATTACCAATTTTACCACTTTAAGCTAGCAATGTGGCTTCATTACAACTTTATCATCATTCCACTTCTTTCTTCATTTTTATTCTTACTGAAAAGTATCTAATCATTGAACTAGATCTTATTTGCTCTTTGAGCACGCGTTTTTTTCATGATTTCCACTAGTTGTATGCCCATTCCAATGAATTATCTGCCACATCACATTTCTCTCTGTTTTACAGCTTTTCTTATTAATGCGTAAGAGCAAAGTATACTTTGTCATATTTAGTGTGCACAGTTTCCCAAGTGTTTCTGTTAGCAGATCACATAACTTTTGAAAATGCACAACTAAATCGGTTAATCGTGTATGACTTATGAGTCTTATTTCTGGATATTTTTGTTTGGTTTAGGTAAATGCAATCACAATAGATGGCGTGACTCCATTATTCAACGCATGCTCCCAAGGCAGTCCGAGCTGTGCAGAGCTGCTTCTGGAGTATGGCGCCAAAGCCCAGCTGGAGTCATGTCTTCCGTCCCCCACACATGAGGCTGCCAGTAAAGGTAACTTAGCCCTGGGATTAAGTGACAAGCGGAGACAGTTTCTTTAGCAGCCTGCAGTACTGTTTATCTTTCAATGAGTGACACCACAGGGGAAGCCTGGGGTGAGGTGCGTGGGGTGGATGGGCATTAAGTTAAACTCCTCTCCTTTGTGTTGGCAGGTCACCATGAATGTCTTGACATCCTGATATCCTGGGGCATAGATGTTGACCAAGACATTCCTCATTTGGGAACTCCTCTCTATGCAGCTTGTATGGCACAGCAATTCCATTGCATCTGGAAGCTTCTCTATGCTGGTATTTTCCTTTAAAACATCTTTTGTCCTGTCCATACACACAAGCAGTTATTTATTTCTCTAAATGAGCTCCTTTCAAATTAAATCTCATTGCTAAAAAAAAGTTCTTATTGTAAGCATTTTCACACGATTAGAGAACCAATAAAAAAGAACCTCATTCTTGATTAAGTTGCCTTCCTAGCTCACAGATAGATGCATTATCTCTATATTCCGCATGCACTGCATTAGCAGACATTTGGGTATGTAATGGAGTCTGAAAGCTCCACTTTTAGGTCACAAAATTAGGATCCTCAAGACTGAATGTGATGTTGCCAAGAATGTATATATCTTGGAACAAATCCATCAAAAGAAATTTTCAGGATAGTAACTGCTTGGACAGCCTCATCTTCTGCTAACTTTAAAAACTCATGTACTTTTCTAGACTTTGTACTTTCTGTCTTGCTTACTTGAAAAGAATCACTGCCCTTTTCCATTTACTCGAAACAAATCAATTCCTCAAGATTTGTTTCAAGTAAGTTAGCTTTAGTCCCCTGAAAAACATTTTTTTTCTTCTTTTTTGAGATGGAATCTCACCCTGTCACCCAGGCTGGAATGCAGTGGTGCGATCTTGGCTCACTGCAACCTTTGCACCTTTCAGGATCAAGTGATTCTCCTGCCTTAGTCTACCGAGTAGCTAGGACTACAAACATGCACCACCTCGCCCGGCTAATTTTCTTTTTTATTTTTAGTAGAGATGGGGTTTCACCATTGGTCAGGCTGGTCTTAAATTCCTGACCTTGTGATCCTACCCACCCCATCCTCCCAAAGTGCTGGGATTACAGGTGTAAGCCACCACACCCAGACCCTGAAAAATATTTCTAACCTATTGAGACCATAGTGGCCCCACTCATCACAGGACTGGGAGTCCCTTTAGGATTTGGATTATCACCTCTTTTCTCTGGCATGGTTCTTCTCTCTTATCCTCTCATGTGACATAAGTTTAGAATACATAAAATGAATAAATGAAGTTCTATGCTATTTATTGTTTATGAGAGTCATCTGATCCCTGATATATACTGATCTTTATTTTTAGTAAACCCTTCATGCACTACTCACATTATCTTAGCTAACAGAGAAACTTCTTGCAAGCAGGGTCTACATCTACTATTTCATTCTTATTACACCTAGTCAGTCTTAGACATGAGTTATGTTACTAGCCATTGACAGATTGTTATTTTCTGGCTATGTTCTCCTGTAATTTTTTATATGATCAATAGAATTTATGCTCTATAGCAAGCTTGTCCAACCCGCCGCCCAGGGACCACATGCAGCCCAGAATGTCTCTGAATGCCTCCCAATACAAATTCATAAACTGTCTTAAAATATTAAAGGTCTTTTTTGGATTTTATTTTTTTTAGCTCATCAGCTATCATGAGTGTTAGTGTATTGTATGTGTGGCTCAAGACAATTCTTCTTCTTCCATTGTGGCCAAGGGAAGCCAAAAGATTGAACGCCGCTGCTTTAGAGTGTTTCTTTGGTTTGCTAGGAATATTATTCTTTCCACCAAATGTTTTGTACTGGGCTTTAAAAACTATGGGCCTATAATCCCAGCACTTTGGAAGGCCAAGGCAAGTGCATCACCTGAGGTCAGGAGTTTGACACCAGCTTGGCCAACATAGTGAAACCCCATCTCTACTAAAAACACAAAAATTAGCCAGGCATGGTGGCAGGCACCTGTAGTCTCAGCTACTTGGGAGGCTGAGGCTGAGGCAGGAGAATCACTTAAACCCGGGAGGCAGAGGTGACAGTGAGCCAAGAGTGTGCCACTGTTCTTCAGCCTGGGTGGCACAGTGAGATTCCATCTTAAAATAAACAAATCAATAAATATGCAAAAGAACTGTTAGTAATTGTTGATTGATTGTTATTTAGAGGCCCTTTTCTTCCATAAAATTGACATAACCAACGTTTATGCTTTCTTTATGGAAATTTTGCTACAGAATATAATTTTTCCCTAAACATTTTATATTTGTTTAAAAAATATTGAAAATGATTACATTTATTGAAATTTGAAAGGAGCAGAAGGGCCATAAAGGGACACTGAAAGTATACTGCCTCTTAAAGACATCATTAGTTTTACAGATAGTAACGGAAAACAGAGTTGAAAAGAACTTATGCATTTTTATTGGTAGACATTTCTGGTGTTGTAACTATTTATGTACCAGAAGATGGGATGGTTATTTTTAACAGTACTAAACAGCATTTATTTATTGCAGACACATTGAATGACCACCATATGCCAGGCTTTGCACTGGGATAAAGTAATATGCAATAGGTAATTTAACATGTAGGCTGTATTTTAACATAAGCATTTTTAAAAAATTTCATTTCATGCAGACATCATCAATGTTCCTTTAGATTTAAGAGGCTCAATATATTTATATACTTATTGACTTAAACTACATGAGTGAAAGGTGGCAGGAAAATCTATATATATGTTACCTAAATAGCTCACACATTTATGAGTACCAAAGAGCTTCCTTGCCTTAAATAAATGAAAAGAATAATAGCAATAAGCTCTTGAATAATTCTAAAAACCATCAACCATGATGAAGATAAATATGAATGAACTTAATTGTGCATTCTTTATAATATTAGTTAACATGATTACTTTTGAGATCATTTAAAAGTTAAAAATAATTTTATTATGATAGTTCAAGCATACAGAAAAGTATCAGAAAGTAACATAACAAATGTATGTATCTCTCATATTCATATGTACCCAGTTTATATATATGTATATGTAAATATGAGGCATATGTGTGTATGTGGATACTCCATATATATATATATATATATATATATATATATAACTCATAACAAATAGAGTTGAAGTCCCCTTGGTAACCTTCCTCTATTGCCTTTCCTTTTCTACCCCCACTGAGGCAACTGACTTATTTAGTAATTTTCATTTATATTTATCTTCACTCCCTATTACATGTAGGTGCTGATGTACAGAAAGGCAAGTATTGGGATACTCCATTACATGCTGCTGCTCAACAATCCAGTACAGAAATTGTAAACTTACTGCTAGAATTTGGAGCAGATATCAATGCCAAAAATACAGAGCTTCTGCGACCTGTAGATGTAGCTACGTCTAGCAGTATGGTGGAAAGAATACTGCTTCAACATGAAGGTAAGAAAAATACATGTGGAAACGTACAAAAGCAAAAATATTTTTGCCCAAGATGAAAGTGAGAGACTTTTTGTTGGCGTGGAAAGCAACAGTGGCATAAAATGTCAAACATTATTTGTGAAAGTAGATAATTTTTTAATTAAAAAAGATGATGATTTTAATTTTCTCTTTTTATCTTATCTAAACTATGATATTCCTTTGGTTAAATACATTTTGTTTGTTTTGGTGATGCATTATATGTAGTTCTGGTGTAATATCTGCTGATTTATATTTGGAACATGCCTCATTTTATAAGGGCATGAACCTTCTATAACATATTATAGAAATGAAATTAGGAAATATTTTTACATTTAAGACTTTTGTTCTAAAATAGGGTTTCTTAAGCCTGGTCCAGGGAATATAATATTTCTTTTAGTGTAAATATTAAACCTAATTTTAAAATTTCTTCTTTTAGTAAGTAACACTTCTCAGGACTTTTGATTTATATCTCCTTCAAAAAGCAGACTTTTTCAAGGCTTTAAATGCAACAATTATTTCTTAAGCCTGAGGATTATAAAGCTTTAAAGAATGTATATGGAATATATCTCAATTATAATAAGATCTCATGAATAAAAGCAATATAACTGCTTACATAAATTTCCCTAGTATAGTGTTCATAGCACAAAACATTGTAGTTTTTATGATTTTGTTTTATGTATCTTGCAACATAAAAAATTAATTTCTATTTTAATTAACAAGTACTTTCACATCTTCCTGTAGCCACCCCAAGCTCTCTTTGCCAACTCTGCCGACTCTGCATCAGACACTACATAGGAAGTCCAAGATTGCACCTTATCCCACAGCTCCAGCTGCCAACATTACTAAAGAATTTCTTACAGTATCGATAAAACAGTAAAATAATTCTAAATATCTTGAAAATCAAAATTTTTATTTCTTTTGCTTAAGGAATATTTCATATTAAAATATGCTAAAGACAGGGTAAAAGTGAGTATCAGATCACCCAGGGAAGCAGTAAAATATCAATTTTAATTTTAAGTGTATTAGTTAATACTATTGTTTTATAATGTATACTGTCTTTGGATTATAGCATATTTATAATACCTATTTTTTTGTTATTTCAATATATCCTCTTGTTGACTTAGAAAAAAAGTATCTTATGTTTTCTTTCCGATTGGAAAGAAAACTCTTAGTAAAGTTATTCATATTATATTTTAAAAGGGCTATATTCTTCAACTAATGGGTTTTTTAATTTTTGCTATTATAATTGGCTAACTTGTTATTGATATTGACATAAAATATGAGTATGGCTTAGCAAAGAGCATCTAATATGCTTTCAGAAACCAAGATGATGCTCATTCAGGAAATCCACTATGTTGAGTGATGTCCACTGGTCATTAAAACGACCGCTTCATAAAAATAAATTGCCTACGCCCTTACCCCCCTCAAAGTACTCACAAGTCACTTCTTTTCTCCACAGTACATGGACCCGTTACAGAAAAGTGATAAAATGAAAGGTCAGAACTGCCCTTTCACCCTGAGATATTTAGAACATTACACACCGGGTAAGGCAATTTTAAGACCTCCTCCTTTTCAGGAGTAGCTCCTGATCATCTCTTATCAGTGCTTTTACATACATATTACTCCAGCCTTCTTCCATTTCAGAAATTGTCAATAGCTAGTCATACTTGGACTTAAGAAAATGAACTATATATCTAATTGACAAAGAGGTCCTGGATCATATTCTGAGGATCATCAAATCATTCTGCAGATATTAAAATAATGCAAGATAAAAAACTCAAATTGTGGAGCTTTTTTCGCGGGGGGTAAATAATTTCCTTTTTTAAAATTATACTTTAAGTTTTGGGGTACACGTGCAGAATGTGCAAGTTTGTTACCTAGGTATATATGTGCCATGGGGGTTTGCTGTATCCATCACCCCATCATGTACATTAGGTATTTCTCATAATGTTATCCCTCCCCTAGTCCCCTACCCACTGCTATTCCTCCCCAGCTCCCCACAATAGCAAAGACTTGGAACCAGCCCAAATGCCTATCAATGATAGATGATAAATTGTGGAGCTTTTAAAGAGTGGGTGCCATTTAATACATTTAGAGATCTTAAAAAATGTATATAGAGAACTTAACTGCACTGTTTCTAATTCTTTTTACACAAAACAAGGGTTTACAGTATACTGTATTTGCAAGTAATAGCAACAGACAGTATTGTATAAAAGAAGACACTACTGAGCTAGTCCTCCGCAAGGGCAAATACTATGTTTATTCTCTTCGGCTTTAACTATACTCAAGTGCAACAGAAAACATAATAAAATGTTATGCCTTTTTTGTAATTCAGGGTCTATTATGATTTTACAAATAGGATAATTAACATACAACTCTGCATAAAACAAAAACAGCTTTTGGTGAGTTATATAGATTTATTAAATTTTGATAAAGTAAATATTTGGATCACTATTTTCAATAGCCCTGGGCTTATTTTCTTGTGACTTCCTGGCTAACTTCCAGAGATTGTATATGAGCCCCGATCACTAAGCTTGCATTTTGGCAGACAAATAAAAAATCAGGCGAGATTTAAAATCTTTGTTGAGATTTTCAAACGTAGCGTATGCATTAAACAATGTTTTCTATGTGAATATGGCCCTTTAAATGTCTGTTTTATAGAATATCTCAGTCTAACACATTCGTAATGGATAATGTACATTAAAATGGAGTTCTTATTACAGAATAACCTGGTTAAACAGATACTAAAGCTGCTTTTTGGTAAAAACAGGTTTCCACCAGTATATTCCCTGAGCTAGAGGTGAAGTCTTAGACTGTAAGAGTAATGCAACACATCTGTCTTACTGGTCTTGGTCCAGTAAGAGAAGTAAATATCAAACATGAAAATGGACACTTTACAATTTCAGTACATCTGTACCTTGTATCTTAGCTTGAGTATGATTGTCTTATCAAAGCAGTGTTCTAACTTAAATATATTGTATGTTTGTTATTAAAGTGTGATTATTATTCATTGGAATAAAATGCTTTGTGTTTGTCTCATTATATTTTATAATGAAAGGTCATGGAGAATATGACTCAATTGCACTAATTTTTTTCACCAACAGTTTCCAAATCACTGAGTTATGAGCATTAAGATAGAGTATCACAGATTAAAAAATAGATACCTCAAAGGCCTTCTAATCCAAAACATATTTTATATATATGTGACAAATAATATATATTATATGTGATATTTAATACATATGATGTTATACATTTATACATATTTTGTGCATACATATATATAAATATACACACACACACACACACACACTAAAGTTCAAGGACAAAATTTCACAAAGTAAAACACAAAAAATAGTCACTATGTGACATAAGACTTAAGAAGTATAGTAAAACAGTTACTGTAGATAGACACTGTTGAAACAATTTTTTGGATTAAAAAGGTAACTTCTGTGATTTTTATAATCACAGCATATATCTGGTGTTTCTGAGAAAGTCAATAGATACGTAGTAGAAAAGAAAGGCCTCCAGGGCAGAAAGCTTTCATTGTTCCATCACAGAACTGAGCTCAACTGACTGGTGATCCAACTATAAAACAACTTAAAAATTATCCTTTCCCTTGGATTATTCCCACTTTTTAACTTCAGTTTCTCTACTATTATTATTATCATTTATAATTTAGGTTATTTTAAGGTTAGCCCTTTCTCTTAAAAACCTAAGTGAACTTTCTCACATGTTCAAGATTGATGGAAAAATACAAAAATTATCCAGGTGTGGTCACACACACCTGAGGTCTCAGCTGCTCAGGAGGCTGAGGCAGGAGAATTGGTTGAACCTGGAAGGCGGAGGTTACAGTGAGCTGAGATCATGCCACTGCACTCCAGCAGCCTGGGTGACAGAGTGAGACTTCGTCTAAAAAAAAAAAAAGACACTTCAAATGGAAAAGCAGCTGTATTTGGAGTTACCTCCTGATTAAGTTTAGTAATCCACACTCACTCATGAACAGGATGAAGGAAGTTCCTTGGATACCCTGGAAAGATGCAGGTGAGCTAATGGTAGAGGAAAACCTCACTCCAGGTACCAAGCAATATGACATTCAGCATCCAATCAGGAAAACAGAAGTAATTCCAGGCATTCAACAGATTCAACAGCAAGAACTTTAACAGCTGATCCTTGAACAACATGAATATTAGGGGAACCAATGTCCTGCATGGTAGAAAACCCAAGTACAACTGTTGACTCCCTGAAAACATAATTATTAATAGCCTACTGTTGACTGGAAGTCTTACCAATAACATAAATATCAACATATATTTTGTGTGATATGTATTATCTACTGTATTCTTACAATAAAGTAAGCTAGAGAAAAGAAAATGTTATTAAGAAAATCATAAAGAAAATATATTAACCATTCATTAACTGGAAGTGGATCATCAGAAAGGTCTACATCCTCGCCTTCACACTGAGTAGGCTGAGGAGAAGGAGGAGGAGGAGGAAAAGGAGGGATTGGTCCTGCTGTCTCGGGGTTGGCAGAGGCGGAAGAAAATCCACATACCAGTGGACCCGTGCAGTTCCAAACCCTGTTGTTCAAACCCGCATCAACTGTATAAGGAACTGGTTGTATCGAAGAGCCGAAAAACTAAAATAGGCCCATCAAATTAAGAGATAGACTCTTCAAGAAGCAATTACCACCCCCAGGGAAGAAGTTGAGGTTTCAAGAACTTAAGAGTGGGAGGCTTAAGCCTCAAGACTTAGACTTCTGCGGAGGGGACATACACAGCTGGTGCCAATACTTCAGAAGCTCAGATGAGTGGTCCAAGAGTAAAATTGGATCTCACAGGAGGGCCACTTCTTGGTGGTTGCTAAAAACTCAGAGACAATATGACAAAACTTGCTCCAGAAGTGTTAAACAACTGGAGACTGGAACCAACTGCCCCTGCCAGGTGAAGCTTTGTTGCCATGGTAACACAGGGGCTTGAACAGCAAGCAGAGAAACAGCAAATCCCTGCTCCCCACCTGTTGGCCGCTCTCTTCCTCCCTCTATTGGCAGAATTTACCATACACCCAGCAAAGGAGAAATTGAAGCAGTGTTCCAACTCCAGTGTCACAGAACTGGGAACACAGAAGGGAGTGTTTCTAAAAGGGATGTGTTTGCTTAACAACTGGCACACTGATTGCAGGAAGATTTCTAACTCCTTAGCAAAACTGTTTACAATTAAGTCCCAATCTAGCCGGGCATGGTGGCTCATGGCTGTAACTGCTGCACTTTGGAAGGCTGAGGCTGGAAGGTTGCTTGAGCCCACAAGTTTGAGACCTGTCTCTACAAAAAAAAATTAAAAATTAGCTAATCATGTGGCTTACACCTGTAGTCCCAGCTACTTGGGAGGCTGAGGTGAGAGGCTGAGGCGGGAGGCTCACTTGAGTCCAGGAGGTCAAGGCTGCAGTAAGCCCTGAGCACGCCACTGTACTCCCACCTGGGAATAGGCAACAGCATGACTCTGTCTCAAAAATGAAAACAAATAAACCCCAATCTACAGCCCTAACCTACTTCTCTAGCCATTATCATCCAAATCTTTGGCTGAGAATGTCTCTTCGGTTGATAATGCCTGAACACTTTCTCTAACCCTACTGGGTTCTGTTGTTTCATAAAACTCATTTAAAAAAAAAAAAAAAAACCTCTCACATTTCTACGCAATCGCTTCCATTAGTTATTCTGTGTGAGACTGCCCCTTTATCATCCAAACACATTTCCAAGATCACCTTTCAAGCAATCATCTATGCTTACTGAGCACTTTGTGCTGCACATTGTTTTAGGCTCTTTACATATTTCACTTATTTAATCTCCACAACTCTGTGGTGTATCCTATTTATTTCCATATTTTATAAATAAAAATGTTAAATAGCTTACCCAAAGTCGCGTAGCTAATAAAAGGTAGTGTGAACCCTGAAACTCTGAGACAGGTCTCAGTTGATTTAGAAAGTTTATTTTGACAAGGTTGAGGATGATCACCCATGACAGCCTCAGGAGGTTCTGACATGTGCCCAAGGTAGTCAGGGCAGTTTGTTTTATACATTTTAGGGATATGTGAGACATCAATCAACATGTGTAAGATGAACATTGATTTGGTCCAGGGAAAAAAAGGGATAACTCGAAGCAGGGAAGGGGATTCCAACTCATAGGTAGATAAGAGACAAATGGTTCCATTCTTCTGAGTTTTTGATTAGCCTTTCCAAAGGAAGCAATCAGATATGCGTTTATCTCAGTGAGCAGAGGGGTGACTCAGAATAGAATAAGAGGCAGTTTTGCCCTAAGCATTGCCCAGCTTGACTTTTCCCTTTAGCTTAGTTATTTGGAGAGGCCCAAGATTTATTTTCCTTTCATATTCCCCCCACTTTCTTTAAAAAATCTTTGGAGAAAGTATTTTAGAAGAAAATGGGTCTCAGGTCTCCGGTTTCATCTGGTCTCTCATGGCTAGGATGGTTTATTCCTAGACTGGTAGGTCCCAAGCTATTAGGAAAGCTCATTTTAGCAGGTTGTAAAGTGTCACATCCTATGAAGTCAAAATAGGGGGAGAAAGAGAGAAAAACAAGAACAAACAAAACAGCAATCCTGGAAAATTGATATAGCCACATCACTCTGAAGTCCATAAATCACTAGGCAGGTATGAAAGTAGCTTATATATGTAAATAGGTTGCTGCTATTTTTCTCCTGAAGTTGAAATTGTCTAGCTTCAATTCATGGGGCTTTACAAAAGCATAGCTTGCTTTTCAGTGACTTCAAATTAGGAAAAATGGGGGGAAAAGAAAGGAAAAACCTGAAAAAATTATTTCGAAGATTTATAGCCAAGAAAAATTAGAATTCAGTACAAACCATAGAAAATAAGAACAACGTTAGGCAAGACTAGAATCTAACAGTTGTACTATTGTTTTTTGAAACAAATTTTTTCTCTCTCCAGTTTCCCATTTTTACTAAAGACAAATCATTAGTAATTTGTCTTTGCTTGATTATACTTGGCCTGATTATTTGTATAACATGTAGCAAGAATAAATTTTTTTTTTTACATAGGCTTTTCAATTGGCTTTGATAGAACTTTGTTCCATAGAAGGAATCTCAGATAAGACTTTTAAAAAGCTGAGCCCAGCCATGGTTTTCTACCATCAAATGCCTAAGTGTTGTATGAATTCCTCACCTCTTGAGGTTCCAAAATAAACTTAAGACTCCCGGGCCTGTCAGAAAGTGACATTCTTTACTTACCACAGGTCAGAAACGCTGTACAGGGACTGTGTAGACAAGGTATGAAGCCAATTTTCCCAGGGGGCTTTTATTGGCTCTATAAGTCATTTGATTCCTTAAAGGAAAGCACACCATTCCAGTCAAAGCCTTGGTAAAGTAACCAGTTTTTCCAGTTGTGTCCTGTTACAAATGAAAACAGATCTTATTGCGCTTATGCAAATAATTGCATTGCTATAAGTTAAGAACACTCATAAATTGTTTCCAAATTCTGGAGAAATCAGGTAGAGAGAAACAAATATGCTCCAAATTTTATTCACAGGAGTATACTAACTTGTTAAAATATGTCAATAGCACAAAAGAAATGTTTCCTTGACTCTGAAAAAAAAAAAAAAAAAAGATCAGCAACGTTTTAAGAAAAAAGTCAAAAAGATTACTTCAGTCTTCTATTAGTTCAGTCCATGCAATTCCTGTTGTGCCTGATATTCCTGAACATTTCAGCTCTCCATGAGTCCTGAAAGTTTTTTTTTTTTTTCTATTCTGATGGCACAATCTCCAAAATTATCAGAAAACTGCATTCAACAGTGAAACAGTGGAGAGTCACTGGTCTTGTTGTCTAAGGTGTTATTTAAGCTCATCATCTCACAACCAAGAGAATTAAGGAGCATGGACACAAAGGGTGAGGATGGAGTGAAGTTTAATAAGTGAAAGAAGAAAGCCCTCTGCAGTAGAGAGGGATCCTGGATGGGTTGCTGTTTTACAGTTGAATGCAAAAGCTTTTACAGGAAACTCCACTCATCTCTGTAGTTGTTTGAGTAACTTCTCTTATCTTTCAAGCTGTCTGTATAACTTCTCCATCTATCCAGCTGCAGGATGTCTCCAGGTAAGTATAAAACATAGCTTTTCTTGTTTGCATAATTGTGGGTTTGTTTTAGGTAAGCACCCCCAGTCCCCATGCAAGCTCCCACAGAGCCCACCAAGTACATGTGAAAGGGGGAGGAAACTTTTTCCTGAGAGCCCACTAATCACATGAAGAACAAAAGACTGTATGCAGGACCTTGTCTGCTTTGCCTGCTTATCTGTGCAGGTGCAGTCCGAGTTTTCCCCAGGCTCCTCTATTTTACCTATAGCTATGATTTTTCAGGCAGGCTGCTTTTCTGAGGGCTAGCCTTAATTGTCTGTCCAACTGATTTTTCCCTTGTGTTCTGTCTTAAGAGCACCTGTTAGAGTTTTATAGCTGATTATAAAACCATCTTCTAAAGAGGAGCAAAACAAGACAACAATTTTGTGAATGACAAAAATTTTGGAGAAGCCATACACAAAGACAATTAACAAGGAAATTTGTTACCTCTGTGGCACGCAATAATTTACCATAACAATTATAATTATTACTGATAATGTACACTAAGTCATATCAGAATTATAGGAGTTTCCCTGAATTTTGGAATATATACAAATAACAGATTTGTACAAAAAACCCTGAGAAAAGCAAACACCATTTCATATTCGACAATGCTTTTCTTATAATTTTTATACCAAATAAGCCAAATTATGTCATTTTTGAACTTTAGGCAAACTAATATCTTAAAGGATTAAAAATGTCAGAAAAATACATAATTTATAATTTGAGTTTGGAAAGTCTTTCAAATATCAGAGGCTTAAAACACTTGATATCCGAGGTCATTGTAAAATTAGTTATTAATTTTACCAAAGTGATAACTCAAGAATTTCAAAAGAAGACAAAACCCTTCATTCTTTAAGAGAGGTGACTTAATTTTCTAAAGAATAAGCTGTAATAAAACATGAAGCCAATTAATTTTTTTCAAAATTTTATAAACAATCTATAAAATTTTAATGTTGACCATAAGGTATAACTTCCATAAGCCTTTTATAACCTTTATAAGCTTTGTTAAGGAGTAGGTTACTGCTTCAAGAAAACCATCTTAATCTGATACAAGGGCCTATATGCTGGTCTTGCATCAGTGTCCCTTTGACATTAGTAATTAATTTATAGAAAAACAAAGTATTTTATCCCTCAAAATTGGCTCTTAAAATCTCTCACACTCACCTCTTGTACGATACTCCCTGGGCCTTAAGGAGTTGAATAGCTTTTATTTCTGGCCCTGTGTCTCAGGAATGTAGTTTGATTGGCATCTTCTACTGGGCCTGAAGAAGAGGCTTTAATTGCTGTCGCTGTTTAAGAATTAACAGGACTTCATGTCCCTTTTAGACCCAGAAGCCAAAGTCCTGTAACTCAATGTCACAAGTATTTTAAAAGTGCATATAGAAAGATACACGGATGTAATAACCTTAATAATTTTTTTTTTTTTTTTAAATGGAGTCTTGCTCTGTCACCAGGCTGGAGTGCAGTGGCACAATCTTGGCTCACCACAGCCTCTGACTCCCTGGTTCAAGCGACTCTCCTGCCTCAGACTTCCAAATACTGGAACTACAGGTGCCAACGATCACTCCCAGCTAATTTTTGTATTTTTAGTAGAGTCAGGTTTTCACCATGTTAGCCACGATGGTCTCTATCTCTTGACCTTTTGATTCGCCTTCCTTGGCCTCCCAAAGTGTTGGGATTACAGACGTGAGCCACCACACCGGCCTAAAATTTTTTTTAATCTGTTTTTTTTCTGAGCAAACCAAAACCTAAGTAGGCAATCAGGTATGCATTTGTCTCAGCGAACAGAGGGGTGACTTTGAATAGGAGACAGGTTTCCCCTAAGCAGTTCCCAGCTTGACTTTTCCCTGTAGCTTAGTGATTGGGCGGGGGGAAGGGGGGCATCCCAAGATTTAATTTCCTTTCACAGTAGAACCAGCTATTCAAAGCTTTCATGTTAACCAGCTTAAAATACCACCTTATAAAATCCAAATTAATGATCATCTCTTTTGAGAAGACTTCTTACACTCCGCCAGGCCAAAATGTTTGCTTCTTTTCTGGTGCTAACGTATTTTTACCATGACAGAGCTTTTCAGCATATGTAATCGTTTCACTGATATTTATATATCTGTATTTCTTATAAATGATCTGGTGTACAGAACTGTTCAATAGAAATTCCTGTCGTGATGGAAAAGTGCTGTGTCTGTGCTATCCAACATGGCAGCCCCTAACCACATATGGCTATTGAGCAAGTGAAATGTAGCCAGTGGAACTGAATTTATTTAAGTTTAAATGGCCACATGTGGCTAGTGGCTACCATATTGGATAATGAAGATCTAGCACATACCCCAGGATAGTTCCTCAAAAAAAGTTTACAGAATTTTAATGAATGATTCATTCATTCCGTAAACTTTTTTTGGCTAACAGAAAACATGAATATACTTTCAGTTTTGGTTTTCTTTCTTAACCATATACAGAACACATTGGTTTACTTTATTAATAAACATATTTATGAATAAACACTAAAAATATTAGCCATTATCAAGATCCATCCAATATTCTACCACGTGTATGCATCCACAGGGCCTCACTTTGTCACTTGGCTGTCTGCAGCCTCAAGCTCCTGAGCTCAAGTGATCCTCCCATTTCAGCATCTGGAGTGCTTGGGACTACAGGCATGCACACCACACCCAGCTATTTATATTTTTTATTCTTTTGTAGCAGAAGTGTCTCCACCTTGCGTTGCCCAGTCTGGTCTTGAACTCCTGAGCTCAAGCAATCCTCCGGCCTCCACCACCCAAAGTGCTGGGATTACAGGCATGTAAATCTCAAGCCGGGCCAAGTCAAAAAAAAAAAAAAAAAAATGGCTGTAAAATGTTTAAAAGATTTTAATAATTGTGTTTACATAAATATTTATAATTGCCTATGTCAACTTTGCAGTCGTTTTCATTGTAGTCACTGATAGATCCCAAGTGACTAGATGGGTGCCTGGCACATAATACAGACTCATTACGTATTTGTTGCATTGAAGAATTATGCCTACTAGAGCATTTTGGTTCAGGGTGAAAATCTAACCTACACCGTTTTCAAATATTAATGTTTACAAATAATGCAGTAATTAAGCAAATAGGTTAAAATTTGTGGACATTCGTTTCCATTGTAAAGATTATTTTGCCCCTATCTTTTCCAATTCCCAAAAACTATCGTTGGCCTCTGGTGTTCTCTCAAACCATTGCTCAAACTGGAGGATTGAAAACAGGCCTTTGGCTGGGCAGAAACCAACAATATCTAAAATACAAAACTTATGAACAATGACATGAAAGAAAAGAAGCTCTAAATCGGTTAATAGTGAGGCCAGCTAAATCCAAGATTGAAAGCTTCGCTCAGAGTTTAGATTCCCCAGACCGCGGCCATACCGCTAGGGCCACAGCTTCGCGTTCCAAATGCAGAGCTCCGCGCTCCAAAATCCGCGTCGAGTGGAAGGCCGGGCGGCGGCAGCGCTTGCGCAGGCGCTGAGGTCTCGCCCCATAAGACTCCGCCCCGCGGGCTCGAAGACCCCGCCCCGCGCGCTGGAAGACCCCGCCCCACGCGCTCGAAGTCCCTGCCCCGCCTTCTGTTGTTGCCTAGCAACCCGGAAAGCGCTATGGCTGCCGGCGACCAGGGGAAAGGGTATTTGACACCGCAGGCGGCAGCTGTAGCCAAGTCAACGTCACTTTCGCCTCAGCTAGCAGCTCCCACCCGAGGGAGGCCTAAGAAGGGTCTGGTCTATCCGCATACCCCGAAGAGCTCCCACCTGTCTCCTTCCGTTCTGCGTTGGCTCCAGGGTCTGGATCTCAGCTTCTTCCCCAGGAACATCAACAGGTGCTGAAGCCAGGCCTACACCCCCTCAGTGGGCGCCCGGCCTTCTTTCTACCGCCTGCCAGGCCTCAGGTTGCCTACCCTGGCCGGGCTTATGTTTCAAATCCAGACCCCCCACCCACGCATACACACGAAAACACTATTAGGGAGTAAGACTTTAACAAAATATCACGAAGCGTTTTGTTTATTCCATTAATCAAGGAATCGTTAAAGTGTATTATAGAATGCTTTGGTGACTACAAAAATATTAAAATAGTCAAAGCTTTTTCTTTAGTGACATTGAGCATTAATATTGGTGCTGATGACCGGGCGCAGTTACTCATGCCTGTAATCCCAGCACTTGGGGAGGCTGAAGCAGGTGGATCACCTGGAGTCAGGTGTTCAATACCAGCCTGGTGAACAGGGTGAAACACTGTCTCTACTAAAAATACAAAAATTAGCAGGCAGTGGTGGCGAGTACCTATAATTTCAGCTACGCAGGAGGCTGATGCAGGAGAATCCCTTGAACCAGGAGGTGGAGGTTGCAGTGAGCAGAGATTGTGCTGCTGCACCCTGGCCTGGGTGGCAGAACAAGACTCAGTCAAAAAAAAAAAAAAATAGTAAAGATCATTTTACCCTCTGTCAGAGATGGCATCTAGTTTGAGAGTTATCAACAAGTTTTTAAAGTTGGCACGTTGTACCTAACTGGCAGTTAATATTTGCTCTGGGAATGTAAACTAAATTCTATAAAAAATTAAGGCAATGTATGTTTTGCAGAGCTCTGGCTTCAAGTAGTCGCTCCTTATCAGAGAGGTTTAGGTTCCAAGATCCCCAGTAGATGCCTGAAACCAGGGATACTACAGGACCCTCTGTCAGAACACATTTCTGTTTATGTCTTCCAACCACAAATTTCATGCCTTTTAAAAAATCCTAACTAAGCACTTACCACACACCGTGGCTGAAAGTTTTACAGTTTGAGGTGTGATGGCAAAACTATCAAGAATTTCTTTTTCTTCATATTTGAGGGATACAAGATTCATTCTTATTCTAACCATTCTTACCACTTTCTATTAAGTTAAGAACTTCATCTTTTCACCTAAAGGAAGAAATTTATCGTTTCTCTTTGGCATATCTGAATCACCAGCGTCACTACTCTTGCACTTTGGGGCCATTATGAAGCAAAATTAGGGTGACTTGCACACAGTGTGCCATACTGTACAGTTGATCTGATAATTAAAAGGTGACTGATGTCCACGGCGTGGAGACTCTGGACAAATGGAGGATTCACATCTTAGGCAACACAGAGCAGGCAGGGAGATTTCATCACACTGCACCGAACAGAGTACAATTTAAAAGTTACAAACTATTTCTTGAATTTTCCATTTAATATTTTCTGACTGTGGTTGACCCAAGGTAACTGAAACTGCAGAAAGCAAAACTGCAGATAAGCAAGGAACTAGTGTACTAACTTGTCTTCAGTATTCCTTACAAATATGCCTCCGAAATTTTAATGTGCATATGAATCACCTGGGGATCTTGTTGAACTGCAGATTGAATACAAATTAACACTTTGGGTTCATCAAAAGAACACCAAAACCTTTCATATGTACATAATCTTGGCAAAATTGTGTAGTAGGCCCTCCTCAGAGCAATAATCCAACAACACTGCTTTTACAGGATACTTTTAGGATGAAATATTAGACTGATGTTAATTATAAAATAATACAAACTGCATAATTAATTATACTTTATTTCATTTCCTACTTGCTGTGGATCAGAGACTTTTCAAATGGCTTCCTAATTGCAGAAATATTCTGTATATATTACCCCTGGGAACTTAAATTATCCTCCTTTGAAAATGGGACATCTTTAAAAGTCAAGTTGGATAACTGGGCACAGTTGGAGAAGGTATGTTAGCAATCATTTACACTTTTGATTGTTAAGATGTTTGTTTTAAAGTGTGCCATCCTAATTTCCTGGGTCTCTACATGTATGTATGTGACTGTGTGATACTGAGTTGGCAGCTTGCTCCTGTGTGTCACAAAGTTTATTAAATTCCAACTGTTTATGTCATGAGTCATCTATGAAACTGAGCATAATCTCTTCCGTTAGCATGATATATGCTGATTGGTTTTCCTGCTGAATATCATCTTTTAAAAGGCAAAGTGTTAAACACAGAAAATTAGTTGATAGGTAAATAAAAGGGCGATTAAAATGGATTCATAGTACTTGGAGATTTTTATAGAATTGCTTATGATAAAAATATTTTCTTTCTACTATTAAAGTTCCTGGCAAGAAAAAAATTTAAATTACCAAAAGAACTAATCTATGGAACAATTCATTGTAAAGTGGGAGTACCTGAAATACTGATACAAGAGGTTTACACTTTATTAACACATCGAGAGTAAGTTCTTTGAAATTTCCTAGTATTGCAGTTTAACGTGAAACTTTTGATAATGTAAATCTCATTACTAAAATGTTGCTTATCAACAATATTTTATTTTTTATTTCCAGAATTAAAAGTATCCAGGATGACTCTGTGAATTTCACTGACTATAGTTACCAGATTCGTTTACCCCTGGTTTCCAGGGCTACACTTTCAAAGTCTATTAAAGATAACATTAGATTATCAGAATTACTAAGCAATCCCAACATGCTGAGCAACGAACTTAAAGTAGAGTTCCTTACCCTTTTACATGTGTTACAAAGAAAATTAGGCAGAAAATTGAATCCAGGTAAGTTTTCCTTGGAAACAGCTGAGTTCTTCCAAGTTCTGTCAGGCTATTCTTGAGCACAGATGAAAGAAATGTCTTCTGTGATTGGTTTAAAGGGAAATTACTTCTTTAATGCTAGCAGTGGAATGACTTATTAGCATTGGAGTGGTTTATAATTCAGTCTTTTTGATGAAGGCATAGGTTAACACAGTACACAGACACTTCTTTTTAGAAAAAAGTATATGTGTATGAAAAACTCATGTAAACTTGCACAGGAAATAAGTTCACATGTCAAGTAACTAAGGAGTTTGAGAGTTAATCAGGACACTCATCCCTTGGGAAAAGCCTGGATTACCAGGATTCAGTGTGGATGCTGTCTACTGTGTGGAGAATGTTAACCTTTCCATAGTGGGCTTGTTGGGATGTAGATGGCAGAGTAGATTGGGGCGATCATGGCAACTTTCCAGAGGTATCACTGAAATCATCCTGTAAGTACCCAAACAAAGCATTTGCCATCTGCATTTGCCAGAATCACTGGCAGGTGGCAAAGTAATTGAACTTTCACTCTATCTTTTTTTGTTTTTCTAGCAGTTACTCAGTATACCACTAATAAATTGAAATCTTAGGTGATTTGATTGTCTGGAATCAAGAGATCACATCATTTCTGTGGCACCCAAACATTCGGGAAAAGAAGCAGATGTAGGTCATTAGTGTTTCTCTCCCCTGTGAACTTTGTCTGAAGAAAACCATTTTCTGTCTGGTTTCTAGCAAGAGAGGAGAGCACCAATTTTAACATCTCCTAAAATTGTGAGATGGATATGTTAGATTTGGTCCTCCCTTACTCCATCCATCCTTCCATCTCTTATATTTTATTTTCTCTTTCTTGATTTTTCTCATCTCTGGCTCTACTCACGAATTCATGAATAAAGACCTAATTCAGGTTATTAATAAGGAGAGTTTTATATTGAAACATTTTGCATGTTTTCAAACATTAAAATTTTGCTGTGATATTTATCACACATGTGTGTATATGACATACAATTTAAAGAAGACTAATACCGATGAAAACACATTTGTATGTCCCTATGCAGGTTAAGAAATAGAGCATCACTAAAGCCTTTACTTTCCGCTTTGTGTCCTCAGACTGCATTTGCCACATTCCCCTCCAAGAGTAACTACCGTCCTGCTGCCTTTGTTTATAATTTCCTTGATTTAAAAATCTATACATATTATCTATATATTATTTATTTCATTTACCGATACATACTATTTATATATTATTTTTTATTTCATTCATATATATTTTTAACTTTAGTTGATTTTATGAAACTTTGTAGTAGGCAGAATGAGTCCCCATGCTATCCATGTTCTAATCTATGAAACTTGGGAATATGTTACTTTACATGGAAAAACAGACTTTGCAGATGTAATTAAAGCCATAGACTTTAAGATAGGGACTGCATGCTGGCTTATTCAGACAGACCTGACCTAATCACAGAAATCTTTAGAAGCAGAGATCTCTCTTCAACTGGAATCAGATGCAGCAGAAGGAGAAGTAAGAGGTCTGGAGTGTGATAGGGTCTCAACCTGCAATTGCTGCAGGGGATGACATGGAAAGCATGAAAAGGTACCTGGTGCAGCTTCCAGGAGCAAAGAATGACCTTGGGCTGACAGCCAGGCAAAAAACAGGGGCCTCAGTCCTGCAAACATCAGAAATTGCATTCTGCCAACAAGCTGAGTGAGCCTGGAAGATTCATCCCCAGAACTTGCAGAAAGGAATGCAGCCCTGCCAATACGTGCTTTCAGCCTTGTGAGGCTCTAAATACAGGACCCAGACTTCTATACTGTGAGATAAAAATGGCTGTTTTAAGTCATGATATTTGTGGTAATTTGTTATGGCAGGAATGAAAATTGAATACAAGCTTCACAGTTAACACTGTTCCCATAATGAGATTATAAATATACCCTCCTATGTTTAAATTGATTAAAGTGAAATCTTTTAAGGTTTAAATTGATTAAAGTGAAAACATTTAAGCTCTTACTTCATCTACAATCCATATGAAGAACCAATTGTCTCAGCTCCATATATATATGTGTGTGTGTGTGTGTGTATGTTTTTTTTTTTTTTTTTTTTTTTTTAAAAAATTATTATACTTTAAGTTCGGGGGTACATGTGGAGAACATGCAAGTTTGCTACATAGGTATACATGTGCCATGGTGATCTGCTGCATCCATCACCCTGTCATCTACATTAGGTATTTCTCCTAATGTGATTCCTCCCCTGTCCCCCAACTCCCTGACAGGCCCTGGTGTATGATGTTCCCCTCCCTGTGTCCATGTGTTCTCATTGTTTAACTTCCACTTACGAGTAAGAACATGTGGTGTTTGATTTTCTGTTCTTGTGTCAGTTTGCTGAGAATGATGGTTTCCAGCTTCAACCATGTCCCTGCAAAGGACATGAACTCATCCTTTTTTATGTCAGCTCCATATTTTGAGTAGTCTATTTTTTCCCCACTTATTTGAGATGCCCTCTCACGTTTCAGTATTTGTGTATGTATGGGTCTGTTTTTGAGCCTTCTATTCAACTTTGTCTACATGTGTATCGCCTCAGCATCTTGTCTTAATTATTTGTTATTTTATTTATTTTTTTGAGATGGGGTCTTGCAGTGTCACCTAGGCTGGACTGTAGTAGCGTGATCTCGGCTTACTGCAACCTCCACCTCCTGGGTTCACACGATTCTCTTGCCTCAGCCTCCCGAGTAGCCAGGAGCACATCACCACACCTGGCTAATTGTTTTGTATTTTTAGTAGAGACAGTGTTTTACTATGTTGGCCAGACTGGTCTTGAACTACTGACCTCGTGATCTACCAGCCTCAGGCTCCCAAATTGCTGGGATTACAGGCGTTAGCCATAACGTCCAGCCCTTGTCTCATTATTGCTTTATAATTGTTGATACTTTGTAAAGTCCTAAAATTTGTTCTTCTATGAAGTTTTCTGTTGCTGTTTCATTTACAGCAAGTTTTATTATGAATGTATTAATACTGCCTATTGTTATATATGTATTCATATCTAACATACTATTTCGAGGTTTTTTTTTTTTTTTTTTTTTGGACTAAATAATTTTTTCTTACTAATCTTGAACATTTTAAATCTCTACTCTTTTTAGTGCTAATCTATAAATTTTAGCATGCTATTTATCTCAGTCTAAATTTAATATCTTTACTCTCTTCCTGAAACTGCAAGGACCTTAGAACACTGTTGACACTGATCCCTCCCTGCCATCCTTCACCTCCCTTTACTTGTTTCTTATCTAGCATTTTAGTTCTGCCCAGTTATATTTTAACACCACAAATCATTATCTTCACTTTTCTGTTTAAAAGTCAATCTTTGCAGAAAACTAACCTGTATCTCTGTTGTCTTTTGAACACATTTTCTCCTTAGCCACAGATTTCTCAACTCTTGCAATTCTTGAATATAGTATTCTTTCCCCAGTCTTGATTCCTGAGCCTGCTGATTTTAAATGTTTCTCATTTGTGGCCAAAGTAATTAATTGTGATAATTATAGTTCTGGGAATGTTGCTGACCAGAGCTGTGTTTAGTGTTGATAGAGCGTGACTGGTGAGTAGGAATTACCTTAGAAACTTCTTCAAGCCTCAGTGAAGGATGAGCTGCAGAGGAGGAAGTCGTCTTTAGAAGCACAGGGAAATTGCCCAGGTATTTCAGTTTACAGGATTAGTTAAAAAGAAATATGGGAAACATGGAAATAATTTTAATTCACAATTTTTATACTATAAAATGTTTGCAAAATGAAATAGATACTGTATGCTTTTATCAAATATAAAAACAGGTAAAACCTATGATGACAGAAGTCAGAATAGCGTTTTCCTTTTAGGATACTGTTTTGGAAAGACATGAGGTGGCTTTGGGATACTGGTAATACATCATTTCCTGATCTGGATGATGGTACCCTAGGTGTATTCACTCCAAAAATTCATTGGAGTGAATTACACTTATTGTTTGTTTACCTTTTTGTTTATACGTTATAATTGAATAAAAACTTACTAAAGACTAATGGGAGCATAAACATATTACCTTTAAAGCAACTATTTTGTGTATTAAATGTATTGTGAGCAATGTGGGGAGGGATTATTAACCTACATATTCACACTAAGGAATATGATAAACAGATATTTAAATAATTTACCTAATTTAAAAATTATGGCATCTTGCTTTGACAATGGTCATTATGGCTTTTTAAGAAAGAACTTTGGTGTTCATATTTTATAGAATGGTTTGATGTGAAACCAACAGTGGGAGAAGCGACTCTCAATCACCTTCCTGCCCAAGCCTCTGGGCACCGATATCATTCAAAGGTTTCAAAGGGAAGAGTTGCCCCTGTTTTACGTAAGTTTTAACTCTTGGCTTCTTAAAATGGATTTTTTTTTTTTGCTTGACTTTGTTCAATTAAAGTTTAAAAAAAAAAACAGTTAAATAGCTAAAATGTTGGTGTCAACATTCAGTCCTACAATCTCAAGGACATTGGTATGCAGTTATTTTTGGTAAATGAAGGGAACATGTGGTCAGCTAAGCCACTGATCCCTCCCTAACCTGCTTCTGTTAGATCCATTTGAGCTCTGATTTATGCTTAAATAGGTGGGTCTGAAACATGTCAGGCTCATGAGAGTTCAAAGCTCAGTTCTTCAGTAGCTGGAAGATGAGTCAGTCAGCTCTGAGACAGATATAGATACTTGCATACCTAGAGTTCTCACTCAGTTGTATTACAAAAAGTCACTTCATTAAACCGTGTTAATTTAGAAAGCATTTATATTACAGCAAACTGTAGCCCATGGTCCAAATTCAGCCTGTTGCCTGTTTTTGTATAGTCCACAAGTTAAAAGTAGTTTTTACATATTTTTTTTTGAGACAGAGGCTTGCTCTGTTGCCCAGGCTGGAGTGCAGTATAGTGATCTCCGCTCACTGCAACCACCACTTCCCAGGTTCAAGCGATTCTCCTGCCTCAGCCTCCCAAGTAGCTGGGACTACAGGGGCATGCTGGCATGCCTGGTTACCTTTTTGTATTTTAGTAGAGATGGGGTTTCACTGTGTTGCCCAAGCTGGTCTCAAACTCCTGAGCTCAGGCAATCTGCCCACCTTGGCCCCCCAAAGTGCTAGGATTTAATGGTTAAAAATATATATATATCAAGCTGGGTACAGTGGCTTACGACTGTAATCACAGCACTTCAGGAGGCCGAGGTGGGTGGATCACCTGAGGTCAGGAGTTCGAGACCAGCCTGGCCAATATGGTGAAACCCCATCTCTACTAAAAATACAAAAAATTAGCCGGGTGTGCTGATAGGAGCCTGTAATCCTAGCTACTTGAGAGGCTGAGGCAGGAGAATCGCTTGAACTCGGGAGGTGGATGTTGCAGTGAGCTGAGATTGGGCCATTGTACTCCAGCCTGGGCAACACAAGTGAAACTCCCTCTCAAAAAAATAAATAAATAAAAATAAAAATAGTAATTCCTGACCAAAAAAAAAAATGCTATGAAATTCAAGTTCCTGTACTCATAAATGACAGGGAACATAGCCACTCCTGCTCATTATATGCCTTGCTTCCAGTTGCTTTCACCCTACAACAGCAGAGTTGACTAGTTGCCAAAGAGACTGTATAGCCTAGCAAGCTGAGTTGCCAGATTTAGCAAATAAAAACACAGAGCAATGCAACAAATACCTTTGAGGACATATTTAGGACACATTTTTACTAAAAATTACTCATTATTCATCTGAAATTCAAATTTAACTAGGTGTCCTTATTTTATCTGGCAACCCTACCACAAAGCCTAAAATATTTACTCTCCAGTCCTTTACAGAAAATGTTCATGGACCTCTGCTCTAGATTGTGTTTCCTGAAGTGTTGAGGGATTTCACCGGGGATGAAATTCTTTGTTTACGTGGAGTCTTGAGAGCAGTGCCAATGTTTCTAAAAAAAAAAAAAAAAAAAAAAAACATGATTTCTTAGAACCTTTAATGTGCTAATACGCATTGTAAATACTAACGGGAGAGGGGCAGAATGAAGTGTTTTCCAAACTGTTTGATCACACATCACTGTTTAGTTTTGCTTTGCTTAATGGCCTTGTAGAACTAGTTCCTTAGAGCATACTTTTAAAATGTCCAAACATCAGGCCAGCCCATCAAAATCCCTTTATCTCTTCATCTACCTGAGGTATAGTAAGCACAGTAGAATCTAACAGAAGTGGATAGCAATGTTTCAATGAGTAAAATGTATCCATAGTTTCACCTTTTGATTCTAGGAATACATCCTCTCCTTCAACTTGTCTCAACCTTCTGTTGGTGACATTTGTGGTGAAAGTTCCAGCAGGGAGGGAGGTGAAGCCAGGGCAGTGAGGTGAGAATGGGAGGAGGGGATCAGGAGGCATGGAAAGGAAGCTGCAGGTGAATTTTGTTTTTGTAATAATTCACCAGGATGAGTAGAGTTAAGAGTTCTTTCTCACAATTTTGTAGGAACAATGAATCTACTTTTTAATATGTTTTCCTTATTAGAAACTTATGCTTGCCTCGTTCCCGTTATGATTAATTGAATTTCACCAGGGAAGGGAAAGAGCATGCCCACCTGCTTTGGGACCTGTAATGAAAAGGTAGAAAGGGGTAGTCATGAGTCACAGCATGGCTTCCTTCCTGTGTAAGAAGGAAATGCAAATAGGCCAGAGACAAAAACTGATGCCCGTTGATATTTGAATTGCTAAAGAGTAATCCCATTTCTGTTATCGTTTTTGAAAATCTTCAAGGTTCACATATGAGTTTTTAGAAAAACTGCATGCTATCATTGCTTCAGATCAGGAATCCAAGTAAAATGAATTTCTGCTTTTACAATTTTAATAATGTATAAACTGCCATAAATAACTACTCCCATTTTATTCTCTACTGCTCTTTTTTATGATTCTCTGGATACACTTTTATGATTTGCTTTTACCTCAATAGTCTTACTCTCCTTGGAAAAGGAGATAGGTTTATGGAAGCCTTCACTGGACAAGGTAGATCAGGATGGGAAAGTGAACACACATTTATTTTTTTTACTTGTCTCAATCCTATTCCAGATATGACTTGGATTCTCTTAATCTAGGCACACAGTAAATTAATGAATGATGTGAATTCAGCTTTGGTAATTATATGGATGAGAACTGTTAAATAATTTTTTCTAAATTTGTTCAAAGGACGTCATTTCAGTTTCTGATAAGAGGGTAGTAGAGTGAATAGTTTAGGTCAGCTACCACAGTTTGATAGTCAATGGAAGGAGGAGATGCAAAAACACTAGACTGTAGAAACTTAACTCTATTTTACCATTTAAGATTGCATATAATGAACCTGAAATCACAGGTTGTTCACCTGAAAATATTCTAATTATCAAATAGTGTGGCCAAGATTAATTGTAAGATAGGTTGTTACCTTTGCTTTTTTCTTTTGATAACACTAAGTTCTCTACTTGTTTACCCAAATTTAGTATCTAGAAAAATTATGGGCCACCGGGAATATAGATGTCCTAGTTGCCACCGGCCCCTCCCATTAGAACTGAGTGACCTAAAGAGTCTGGGTGTCTAGCTGGAATACCTCCATGTAATCAGAGTTCCATAAACTGTGTTATGAATCATGGACATTTGTCAAATCTAAATACAAAATTGTGCCACTGTTGCCTCAGCTGCTTTCTGAAGCAATATCTAAGAATAGTTGAGACATATTCAGTATCAGATGCACCAAAATAATCCCTGGGTATTTTTAGGTACAGCTGATGACTTTTGGAAGTGGCTGACATTCAGATTTTTTTTTTATCCATGAGTACTATAAAGCATGATTTAAATATTCTTGTTTACCAGGCATTTAGATTAACTGTGCTTGACCTGTTGCCAATGATTCTGCATATATTTGATATATTAGGTATGCTACTTGTATACGTATTTAATAACCATGAATTGATTTTAATTTTATTTAAATGTCTCAGCAAATATAGGTAATGGTGGGAATTCACATAAAGAAATAAACTTGAAGCAAGCTCATTCTCATGAATGTTGTGAAATGTATCAGAAACATGGAAAAGAAACCTTGAAAAGCACCTGTCAAATGGCTTTGAAGAAGTGACGCCACCATCTCTCACCATACTAAAGAAACAGAAGCACCTAGTCTTGGGTGTATTTCAATAATAAATAAATGAGAGTGGTGCCTTTTCCATAATTGTGTTAAAGAACATTTCTTTTCCATTCAATTTGTTTATTCAACATCTATGCCAGGTACTGCTGAAAATATAAAATCAAATAAATTAATACAGAATGAGCAAATATAATTTAAAAGGTGTAAACACAATTCACCATGATGAGTAAAGAGTTCTTTGTCCTAATTTTGTAGGAATGGTGAATCTACTTTTTAATATGTTTTCCTTGCTAGAAATTAAAAGTTACTGCTTTGCCTATTATATATTTACACGTAATATTTATTAAATTTTATTCTGAATGATTATTATACTTTGGCCCATAGGACATGTTGATCATCTCCAAGAACAGCCTGAACTTAAACCATTAAAAAAAATAGGCGTCCCTCCTATTGATAACAAATTGTGGGGAAATAAAGTCATTCTTTTCTTGGAATTTGGTTCTGGTATTTAGCAATACATTTAGTTCAATTTAAAAGTTCCCACTGGTTGCTGCTATGCCCCACATTTTACCTGAAGGGAAACAAAAGCAGACTGACGTCCTGAGAAAGTAATAATCTTTTACATATTCATGGTAATTTTATATTTTATATGTGGAAAATTTTTAACTGGTATTCATGTTTTGATATTAGCTCATTAATAGTCTTATTTGACTTTCAAGATGAGTATTAGTAACATCGATTTCCAGCTAAACTTACCAGTTTTTCTGCATTTTTGAAAGTTCAGACTGTTTTATTAGCACTTCCACCTCCAGAGAGATGTCCTTATTAAATTTTACATTTTTAGATAGATAATATTTAAGAAGACTAAGAGAGCCCTGATGATACAGGTAACTTATTGGGAATGTGTTCAAAATTCAGTTTTATCTGCAGTAAGAGATCTAGGTCAAATGCATCTCTTAAAAAGCTGTAAGTAATGTATCTGTTGTCTTACATTATCATGGGACAATCCAAAGCACAAAATTATGGGAATAATTTTTTAATCTTTACAGTTTCTTTGGAAAGGGTTTGAGAAACAAGTCTCTGAAGCTCAGCCATGACAAAGATCCAGAAAAGAGGATTAGTTTGGGTAAAGAGTCAAATAATAAGTTTCTTTGTCCCCTTGGTCCTGTGTTCAATGTCCTGAAAAAGCTAAACACTCATGACCTGACTATGGTAAGTGCCCAAGAATCCTGTGGAACCTATAGAGACTGTGGAAAATATGAAATAGTGTGTGGGCTTCATTACATAGTGATTACGTAAATGAGGATAGCAAGGATGGTCAAAGTAGTCAAGAGCTTCTCGAGGATGAGTTGTGTGTAGAAGCCAGCACTACAGGCATATCTTCAAAAAACCATTGACTTCAAAAAGAATCTTTGACTGAAGGAAGTGATGACATTTTCTAGGAGCTGTAGTGGCTGCTATATGAATTAACCTTTTCAATAGAAAGAACGCTTATGGGAATAGAAGGTACTATGACATAGCATTTGTATTAGTAAGGATTTTCCCCATTTTATACTAATTTTGGGGTATATTGTAGTGAGTGTTTCTAAAGTGAAGAATCAGCCTCTGGAACAATTCAATGAAGTGGTTTTCCTAGGTTACTGTGTAGGGTAACAACTCAGACAGCTTAGCCCTTTCACACCTCTGATGACTCTGATCCAAGCATTCATGGAGAAACACTGGTCTTTCAATGGTGTTCTGGGAAAACAGATGACTGCTCATCTTAGCAAGTAACTATGTCATATCAAAATGTAACAGTAATATTTATTAAAATGTAAAGGACCTGAAATACATACATACATATAAATCTAGAGAATGACATGCCAAATTATAGCACAGACAGGATATATAATTTTAGCATGAAAGTACGTATTTCATTTAGGTACAGATGTCTCAACGATTTGGTACAATAAACATTTATTAAGAATTGACTATAAAGATGTCTTCTATATTACTGATATACTAAATATGAATCACTAAATTTTACAAATAATTTGTGAGGCTTTATATTCAGAATAACTTTTGACTTAAAATCAAAAGGGTATAAATGTTATAAGGACAACAAAATACAGTCATTGCTCCAATACAATCATGTTCCTGAACATCTGGACAATTTCATAGAAATATATATATATATACACATACATACACATATTTCATATATACATGTGCATATATATACATATATATATTTCATTTGTCTTAATAGACATTAAAATCATATATTTTCACAAGATGTAACCATTTTGATGTTGTAATTTTGTGAACCACCTGGTAACTGCTAACTTTCACAGGCAAAATATTTTCCCAATGCTTTACAAATCACTGTCTAATGAGACTCTTCCTTTATAGAGGCATATTTAAATCTGCAAAGTAATTTGTCCACATTATTGGTAATATGAACAATTTCAGATAGTAAAATAAATTCATATTATTTGCTTGGGTTTCATGCATATGAAATCTAATAAAATACTTCTATAAATTAAAAAATTTGTTTTTCATATTAAGGCACAATATATACAGATTGACAGAGTCAAATGACATAATTCTATGAAAAACAAATATAATTAATAAGATATAGACATTATAGAAATCAAAGAGAGTAGAATAATGGTCAAATCAGCCCAATTTAGATTTCAGACAGAAATTGGGTTGCTCTTCTATTGTATTTTTGTGTTTAAAGACTTGCAAATTGTTTTCACCTTTTATACATAAAAATATTATATTCTTACATTCATTAAAAATACAGAAGAAAGTAATGATTGTTTGTATACTTAATGATATCTTTTGAAGTATTTGAGCACAAAAAAGATAGGCTTATTTATTTTAAAATAAAATTAAAAGAATGACAGTAGGATTGAGACTGCCATTTTTAAGTGAGGGGTTTTTAGTACATAGGTGCCAGTTAATAATCCTCCTCATCTGAGAAAAATTTAAGTTAGGGATATTACTAAGAGTTTACAAAAATATTTCTCAGATACTCTCTTTATTATCCATTGCATCTCTGAGTTACATATATTCTCTTCTATAATATTTCGTATTGTTTTTATAAAATGGGATTTAAGCCTGTAATGTCTTTTCGAGGAATTAGAAGTGGTCTATGTGATCAGTATGATACATAGATACATTATATATATATATATATAGTTTTCCAGTTTTAAGAAGTTTTGTTAAGGTTTTAAAAACATTTTAAATGCAACAGGTTTAAAGATAATAAAAGCCACAAATATTCTAGTTATATGAGATTACCCTTTAGTCAGACAAAAACATCTATATAACAAATCTTGTAAAACAACTTGAGTATCAAAGTTCTTTTAGTATGCATTAATTTAATAAGTTTCAAAGTCAGAATTTTATTCCAACTGAAATATATGTAGTCACATATCAGCCTTTTCATAGCTTTACACTTTAAAAAACATTTTAAAAGTTAAATTGACATATCTAAAAATTCAACCAGTATCTGTTTACAAACATTTATTTGAAACTAATTTTCATCAAATAAATTGTATGTGTGTTTGTTTTTTCTTTTTTTTTGAGATGGAGTTTCGCTCTTTGTTGCCCAGGCTGGAGTGCAGTGGCATGTTCTCAGCTCACTGCAACCTCTGCTTCCCAGATTCAAGCGATTCTCCTGTCTCAGCCTCTTGAGTGGCTGGGATTACAGGTGCCTGCCACCACATCTGGCTAATTTTTGTATTTTCAGTAGACACAGGGTTTCACCATGTTGGCCAGGCTGGTCTCAAACTCCTGACCTCAGGTGATCTGCCAGCCTCGTCTCCCAAAGTGCTGGGATTACAGACGTGAGCCACCACGCCCGGCCAAATAAATTGTGTTTTAAATAAAGTTAATATAAATTGACTAGAGTATACTGTGCAATTATATGGATTAATCAAAACTAATGTCCATGCATGCCAAATCTCTTAAAATAGTTACTTTATCTCCTAACGCAAGTTTTCATATATATAGTCGACTGCATTTTGTGATTTTTAACCCCAAATTCTTTTCATGCCTACATAACTTTTACCTTTACATTGAAGAGTTAAACTTCAGATAAAAACTAATAATTTTTTTTTTTTTTTTTTTTTTTTTT